ACAGGGGCTGTACTTGACCTTGCATTCGGCATAGTCACACCATCCATTACTGATTCCGCTTCCGATGAAAGCTAACCATCCCTGGTTCCAAACTGCTCGGGCACCGGATCCCCGGACAATCGGTCCCTTAGGAAGTGTGGTGTCCGATTTCTCAAGTGTCTCCGCCTTTGGGTTTGGGGCGGCACTTTCGACAGCATCTTGGACTTCAAGGATTGTTTCGACTTCCTCTTTGGCCGCGTCAGCGATCTCTCCTCTGCGAACCATTTCCTTGCGATCCTTCAATGGGAAGGTGAACGGTTCAGGTACATCGATTCGAATGACTCTTTTGATTTGATGCATATTCTCGTACTTATCCGCTTTGGCCGACTTGAGATCAACTACAAAATATTCTGTTCTCCATTGAAACCCTGGGTGAACGATGTAACCAATGAAGACCCCTGCACTTGACGTGGGATCGAACCTCAGCTCATCTTTGGGTTTCTTTTTGGGACCATTCCAGTAGTTCACCATGCATCCAAAAGGCCAACACTTAATAGGTGATTGTTCCCCGAATCTCAGCTCCCACGGAGAGGCAGTTCCATCTAGAGCATACAGGTTGTTGTTCATGACACACCAGTGACGAGCAGCATAAGGCCAAAATCCGTGATTGAGACCGGATTGCAAGAGGTTCACACGAGTTCCTTCAAGCACGGTTCGGATCGACCTTTCTGCAACGGCATTGCTGGCGGATATGTATGCCTTCGATAGTACATGTCTCCACTTCAGCTCTTTCATGGCATTGATCAATTCAGGAGCATTGTCGGAGTAACAAATTCCTACTTCATCTTCATTTGAAACAAAGTGTTTCATAGCCAGGATGACCGATTCGGCACTCTTTCTAGCACTGGGATACACATACATGAAGTTGGAATATATGTCTTTGACAATCAATGCACACTTTTCTTCATCGATTCCCATTTCGTATTCATCACCGGTAATGAGAAAATCACATGTAATGTGGTCACCGAATTTCTTGGCTTCAACTATTGAGGACCCGTCCTGCCGATATGATGGAGGCTTAGTCATCTTTGCTTTGTTGCAAACGTCACAATATGGGTTCTTGGGGTGATGGCTCACCAGATGCCCAAGTGATTTGGCCTCTTCCTTCAACAATGATATCCCCTTTCTCAGATTCCTGTCCAAGTTGCCTTCGGCAGGTACCTGCGGAACATCATCATCAACATCATCCATCGGCGAGACCTTCCGGTCCGCACTGCCCTTCGGTGCTTCTTTCTCTTTCTCCGGCGTAGCCTTCCGGCCCGCTTCATCCTTCTCTGGGCTCTCTTTCAACACATTCATCCCGTCATCACCCGAGGCCGATGCCGGTTCAGCAGGAACAGCTGTACCACGTCCAGGAGCTATGGGATGAAGAGACGTCGGAGCCAACGAAGAGGATGAAGCCGAGCGAGGCCGATCGATGGGATTGGGAGTGCATGGATTGGCATTTGACTTGCATGGCCCTGGCAGGAATGTAGGGGACGTAATCCCTAACCAGAAGCTCTATCTTTTCCCCGTCCGGCTTCCTAAAGTAGGGCGATTTGCCGGACCTCCAAATAAAATCATATCCTTGATCAACACATCTCACGCCGACGGACATGACCGGTGGTGTAGACTCGAGCAAATAGGGATCAAACCTGCAACTCAATGTGTCATTGTACACCTTAGCCTGGAGATTCGACGAACTGTGTCCGTTAGCTGTAATGATAGCAATCGGCCGGTCCGAGCGGTATTGAAACTCATCAGGAATGTCACGTCGCGTCAACAGGTCCTGAGCACTTCCGGTGTCGGCAATCCAGTCCTCGTGCGAATGGTGGAAGTACTTGACTTCCCTCGGAGAGGATGCGGGCAAAGCAACAATGTCAGAAGGAATGCATGAGTCACAACCTAGGTCCGAATCACACATGTACCTACAAGCTGCCTTGACACCTTTCAGCCAACCGGACACCGCTCCCTGAAGCATGCGTGCTGATAAGATCGAATCATCAACTGCTTGAACGTTGGGCTTGGTCTGATAGCTTGCTGGGAAAGTCTTCTTCGGTTTGGATGGTTCCGAAACAAAAGGATCTAATCTGCCCCAAGCATGAACCCTAGTGATATCAGGTTTGAGGTTGAAAGATACACCTGGACACGCAATGTGTGGCTCGCCTTCCCAGGCCGCCTGGCTCTCATTGATGTTGATTCCAATCTGGTCCAGTACGGATGTCGGACCGCTCAACGAGAAACCATCGACAACGGATGCGAGCATAGATGCAACCAGACAAACTGCTGCGGGAGTGGACTTGCCTGCACTGCCTCTCGAACCACGAGAACCTTTAGAGGATCTAGAGCCTCCAGACTTACGCGAACCACTGGAGCCCCTCGACTCGGTCTCCCTTCTTCCTTCGACGTTTGTCTTTCTTGCTCTTGTCACTCTTCTGAGAATCTCGTGAAGGCGATCTTGCAGGAGTTGCCTTCCTGGGTCGTTGCTGACCTTCATGGGAGAATTCACACTTGTCCCCCCGCTTACAGCGTCCAGCTTTCCAAAACTTGCGTGCAATCTTGGAGGTGTCCCTTTTCTCTTTCCCTCTTGACTGCGAGCGCCCCCTTGGACTCTTGGTTGCACTCATTTCACGTTTCTTGGGAACTTCATGCTTGTATGGACAGTTCTCCTTGCTACAACCCCCTTTGTTCCACTGAACACAAAACCCCCTGGGGATGAACGGTGTGCGTGCGTCGGCAGCGGGAGCGGACGTCTTGGCACCTCCAACACTAGCGGCAATCCGTCCCCGATTGTCCTCTAGCCTTTCCCTCATGAGATGTCTGCGAACAGCGTCATATAGGAATTGATAGCAGTGCTTTGAACTTCCCTCTTCGGCCCGGTGGTACTCCTCAATGTCATGGGCGATTGCCCTGTGATTCTTCACTTGCTGGTAGAACAGAGTTTCCAGGACAGTAGTTTCAGGCAAATGGGTAACGCCGGTGGTAACCGAATCCCAATTCGATAAAAAGGTTTTGAGATTGTCGCCCTTCATTTTCACGTTGAACAGATCACTGAGGGAGTAGGTGGCACCATGTTTGATGTTTGTGCTGAAATACTCATGCATCATCAGCAACACCTGTCTCCCCCGTACCGGACGATCTTTCTGGGATTCTTTCTCCTTGAATGTGTCCACCTTGCGAGCGAACTCACCTGTGGCGATGGACGACAGTGCGGCAAGAAGCTTGGCATCGAGGGTAGTAAACCCGTCAGGACTTGCAAGACCTTCAATGGTTTGACCTTCAACCCACACCTTGTTGATCCACGAGAATGCTTTGTCGGGCTTGGAAGACGCAGCCCTCACCGCATCCCTCACCCTGATTTTCCAATTGCGATAGTTCTCGGGCTGTGGGAAGGAAGGTATCTTGATGTGGTCAGCTTCCTTCGTGGTATTGCTTTTTCCCCCCAAAACCTGTTTGAGCTTCCTCATAAGAGCCTTGTCTGTCAATTCATCGTCATCATCGTCAAAATCATCTCCACCGTCTGGATCACTGTCATCCCCCGGGGGTCCAGGTGGTCCACCCCCCGACTTAGGAATCTTGAGAAGCGGAATGCCTGGACGCCCAGGATTGATTGGATCACCTGATGAACGACCTCCATCAGGATTGTCTCCTCCCCCTCCCGGCGGTCCACCACCACCATTACCTGGCCCGCCCCTACCGAAGTTGCCTGACAATGCATGTGCTGCTAATGACCCGTACCCATCATTCCAAGGACTCACCGGTTGGAAAACTGTAGCGTTAGGGGAAAATACGCTTCCGGGTTGAGACTTCAAGGATGGAGTACCGAACAGCTCAGCAGTTCTTAAAGATCTGACATCATCGTGTTGGGACAAACCTGCAGGTGGTGCTTCATGTATTGGTATGGACTCACGAGGTTCGGCAGCTCCTTCCGGAATGCCCGGCGCATCATCCTTCCGTTGCTTCATTTCACGAAGTTCCTTCAGGAGTTGTGCCTGGACGGATTCCGTCTCAGCCAGCCGCCTCTGCAAATCCATAGATGTTTGTTGTTGCTGTGCCAAGTTCATCTCGAGGGACGAGACTTTCTGACTCTGCCTCATTTCAATTCCAGCGATATGTTGACGGTGGTTCATGGACATTTCCATGACCTGATTCTGAGCCTGCTCTTGCAGTGATTGATATCCAGTTTCGGCTGCGGTGATGAACAATTTCGCCTGGACCCTCATCTCCTCATTCTCAGAGAACGCTTCGTCAGCTTCGTTTCGGAGCCTCTGTGCTGCGAGCATTAGTTCTGCTCGTTGCCCCTCAAGTTGCTGATTTTGCGAGGCCTGGCGCATCATCTCCGCCAGTATAGCTGGAGGTGTGCTCACAAATGAAAAATTGGCCTGATTGAATACCGGCGCGGTGTTCCCACCCGCTCCCCCTCCGTCCATTGACATGTTGGATCCTCCGTCTGGTGTAGACGAGACGCCCGGATCCATCAACGGGAGATGGAAAGCCGCGGGGTTTCCACCCGCGCTCTCACGCCCATCCGCACCATTGTACGGCGCAGCCAGCCTCGCGAGGGCTGTCTGATCCAGACTTAAGTCCATGGCTGCGAATGACGTAGGAGCAATACTACGGGCCTAAGGCTATACGGCTGATAACCTATGTTTACAGGAAATCAGCCAAGAGCGCTCAACTTTTTCCTTGAGCCAAAAGCGAGGGTAAGGATGTATATTTACAGTGAAGAACAATGCTTACTTAGAAAATACATGTTCAAACAAAAACAAGGCTTTCCAGGTTACCTTCGCACAGAAAGTATATGGTAGTCCAGAGATGAAGACAATGACTGTGGCTGAACCTGCTAGCCTGTCCACGCTTCACAAAAGCTTCACTATAGAACCGCCCCACCGGGCATTGGCGTCCACCCGGATGATTTTGGAACCCAGAAACGGATCACTTTGGAACCCAGAGGAACAGAAAACTCTCCGGGACCGCAGTCTGACACCAGCTTCGCGGATCATTTTGGAACACAAAAACCTCGGTAGTGCTTCGAAGGCATCATTTGTTAGTTAAAATAAGCGTTTCCTACGAGACTTCCTCCAAAAGTGAGCCACACAGGTCTTCCAAATGGGCGTTTAGGGGACTTCCTAGGCCTTCACTTCTTTAGGCTCTCTTTTGGTTTTGCTTCGGGCTTCGCTCCCTTAGGATGTCTTGGGCTTCACTTAGGGTTTCACTTCTTTAGGGTCTCTTTTGCTTTGGCTTATGGCTATGCTGCGTTAGGCTGTATTTAAAAGTCCACAGTCCCCAGAAACCACTTCCCAACGACCACTTCCCAGAAACCACTCCCCAGAAACCCACATCTGAACCGCGTTCCAAAACGATTCTAAAACCGCGTTCCGAAACGAGGTGCCAGAACGAGGCGGCGGCCCTCCCCAGCGTCACTCTGAGCCCTCCCCACGAGGAAGTGGAGCTTCTTCGGCCGCGGCTGCCACGGCCTGCGCCGCGTGAGAGGCTGGTGGCTCCCAAGGTTGACATGAAAAGAACATCCTGACCAAGCAGTGCAATGGATCAGGGGGTTGAATGCCTGATTGATTCTTGCACAAGTTCACATTGGGTGTGAATGTATCGGAGTATAGGGTTTGGTCTGCGTGTGAATTAGAATAGGGAGACCCCCCAATGGGTCTCGTTATTCGCACGCCGACTTTCTGCACGTAGGCCGTCAGTTCAAAAAATCTCACGAGATCCCTGACATTTCCCATGGGTAACCTCACCCGGCATGGGCGTAACAAAGCTTAAGGCCTAGAAGACTGGTAGAGATGTCTCATGAAAAAATGCATTAGGTTGGAAACCGCTCCCGACCCGCCAACAGCCCTCGCGCCTTCTCAAGAGGCTTTGGCGAAGCGTCCCCGTCTTGAAAAGTGAGCTGCATCTGGACCGCAGCGCCGCGCGCACGTGAGCAGACCGTTGCAGATCAAAGTGCCCTCAAGCGTTTCCAACGCGTGGACACCAAACGGTCCAACGTGAAATCGATACTGTTAACGTCATATATATATATATATATATATCGCGCCTCAGGTTCAGGGCACACGGCCACCTGACGAGCAGCAGGCGACGATCCGGCGCGAAACCAAACTCGAACGTCTTGCCACGTCGGGCGGTGCCAATTTCTGCGTTCAAAAAAACACACTACACCCTACGCGTCCGTGTAGTTTGGACAAGTAGTTTGGATGGCGGCAGAAGACCTGGGTTCGAACATAGCATAACACGCCGAATGTTCTCAGCTTTGAAGGCCCCATACACTTGAGTCACACCACGGTTTTATATGCAACCCTACTGACCTACTGTGCCACATGTCTGTGAGAACGACTCCCGGTGGCTGCGAGAACGACTCCGGTGGGAATCGACTGCTTGTCAAAATACAGCTGTAGACTATGAAGACCCACAAAAAGATGATGAAACCTGTATAACCCAAGACGTGTAGGTTCCTCATACTAGAAAGACCCTTGGCCCTTACTTTGGACGAAGACCCTCTTAAATCTGCCAACTTGGAATATGAATTGGCTGTAGAGAAGTCCAATCTTTGGAAACCGGTCTCCAGAACCCCTCATCCACAGGAAGAAAGCCTCCATACACATGCAGCTCCCCATGCTTCACAGGCTGTTGGGAAGGGAGAGCGCAAATCCGAGACCGTTGGCTTCACACTTAGCATCAGAGTTGAAACACTCGGTTTGGTAGACTACAGCTTCCAGCAAGGGTGTTTTTCGAGCAAGGTCTTGTGCCAGGACTCAACAGAAAATTGCATACATCATGATGATGTATATATATATATGGGTGCGTGTTGGACGATATTTCTGGGTGTTGGCCACTGTCACATTCCTTGACCATCAGCGCCAGCTTCACCTGCCACCTGGCTGGCTGTACGTTGAGCCTCCAGACAACGCAGTTGGCAAGAGCATGAACTGTGACGGGAATGGTAGCTGCAGTGCTGCCGCTGGCTCGTTCAGTGAAGCATGAGAGTAATGCCAGGCAGGAGTCTACTGCCAACCCAGCTTTCCAAAGAAGACCCAACAAGAAAACCTGGCTAAGACAATCGTACCTGAGACCTTATGAAAGCCTGTGTCGCAGGCTGGTCGACCGCAAATAGCACACGCCTGTGGCTGTCCCCATTCTCTTGAAGAAGCTTTTGCTGACTTTGACACAAACTGGTTGTGTGTTTGTCAGTACGTTTCTGAAGACAAAGAAAGAAAGTTGAACAGTGGACCTGTGTCTTCAACGTGTACAGCCAGAAGGAAAGGCTGCTTCAATTCTAAAGGAGAAACTCGCTCGGGGAAATCGGTTGGCTCTCAATTCCCAAGCACTCTGCTTTTTTGTCTCTTGAAAAGCGACCGTGCTGCGCACTGACGGCTGCTGTTCAGCCGCCACTGTGGCGACCCAAAACGAGTCAAAGCATGGTGGGTTCCGGATACTGGAGAAGTCTGGCAAATTAACTGTCCAAAGTCTCAAGACATCTACAAAAATTGATCATCAAGAAGGATGCCACCGTTCGCGCCCGGCCTGCACTTCATCTACGCGCCCGCGCGGGCGGCGCGGGCGGACTAAACAAACGGAATTGGCCTGAGCATCGTGGGCCGTGCTTCTGGGTCCCCACCACTTCCATGACACAGGCGTTTCTTTCGAAAGTGACCGCAAAGCCGTAAAGAAATGGTAGGAGGACGCCGGGTCACAAGTGGATTCTGCGACACTTGGTTTGCGGGTTCCTTTAACTTGTTGCTGGTCTCTCAGAATCAACCTTTATAAACGAATAGGTCATGACAAGTGGAAGACTTGGACCTGTTGCGAGACTTAGACTTAGGCCTGTTGAAAGTTACTCCACTTCCAGCAGTTTCAGGGTATCCTGACATATATTCACAATCTGAAGATCTCCCATCCACTTGCGGTCAGAGCCCAACATGCACTCCACACCAATTCCTTTGTCTCATTGGCAGTAGTTGAGACAAACCACCTCACCTTGCGAAGGCCATTTTCCTTCTTTTGGATTCTCTTTCAAGAAGTCCCGGGTCAAATCCACGGCTTTTGGAATGCAAGACACAGAAGGGAAACTGCAAAGAACAAGGGAACTGCAAAGAACTGCAAAGAAGAAGGGAATCTTTGGGGTCAAGGGAACTGCAGAGAAAAGTTGAAGTTCCCTTGTGACTTACAAAACATACAAAAGATGCCAACAGCATCAAACAGCTAGGGGGCACATTTGGAAGGTCACTCCAAGGAGCTTAATTGAACTATAGACTTGGAACAAGACTGACAAAGAACCTTAGACTCCGGATGGTAAAATTACTCAACTCAACCTGTTCCTAAGATATCCTAAGATAATAAGATAGAAATCTTGGACTGCAGCCAGGGTCTGCTGGCCTGAGACCACAGCTGCGAACCTACTTAAATCTTCCGACCAACCACACAAGCAAAACAAACCATTGCCGATCGTCTGACGAAGCTTTATTAAGGCTTGAGGACAGAAGGACCCCGTGGTCAAACACCCAACTCACGAACAGTCCCTTGTGTCTGACATGTCCTGCCTCTGCCATCCACCATCACACGTCCCTTAGTCGTTGGGTCGGGGAGGTGGGCGTCTGCCGACTGTCCGCCGCGGGGTCGTTTCTGCGAGCTCCGAATGAAAGTGAAAAAGCACTATAAGCCGATTGATGTATTAAAGCGTAGACGGGCGCCAGTCGTTGTGGGGGCTGGGCCTATCTTCCATCGCCCGGCGGCTTCATTCTCGCCTTTTGGTGGACCATGCACATCTACAAACGGTGAAACCGAGACTTTGAGACTTTGCATCAAGACGGACCAAAAAAGCACGAAAGAGACTTGGAAGTTGTTGAACATGAAGTCGCTGGCGTCTTAAATTTGGTTTGATATCTGCTTGATGTCAAATCAACGCTCGGGTTCTTCGACTCGTGCAACGGGATCGATCCTGACAGCCTCCCAGGTCGACCCCCTGGAAGATGTGAGGGTCGTTAGAGCAGTGTCTACCCATTGCGGCGGCGATCCGGTGTCTCCCATACACAAAAATACACACACAGAAGCTATCAAAAGAGTTCTCTGGCCATATATGCAATATAGCTATGCCAAGCACTAATTAAGCACCCAGTGCTTGATAGGCATTTGACCTGTTCCCACCCTCAAACCCATGTTGTCGCTATACTATAGGCTCTACACACAACATTGATCTGAACATATATCCAACCACCACTCCGGGGCATTGGAAGGCCTCCTTCCTCACAGCTGAAGCTCTTGGCACCCCACCGATCCCCTCCTCCCCGGGGCCACCACGGGTCCGGTCACAGGGACCTGCCGCCCCGGCGGGCACGAAAAAGACGAGGCGTGGGAGATGGGATGTAGCTGTGATAAATAGTATCACTCACGATATAATAGATCATGTTTGAAAAGGATGAAAGCAGGTGAAAACGATCATAAATGATCATTGCATAGATGGTCATGGTGTCACTCGTCCCACCTTGCCTCCGCCTTCCTTGAGGTGGAGGCGAAATAGTGAAGTGACCCAAATCAGCAAAAGTTGGACACCCTTCTGTTTGGCCTTGTTGTGAGAGCTTACATCTTTGAAACCATTTGCAGAACTTGTTGGTTTCGCAGCCAAAACCATTTCTGTCGTCATCTCACTGAGGAAGGCGCCTCTCTGGGCAGCAAGCCCCCATTGCAGGAAGGCGTTGAGCCAAAGCAGCTCGATGGTCGATTGGGGTGACAGACTTCCAACCGGATCAAAGCTATGCCGACTACGCTTCCCAGTGAGGAAAGTGAAGAATGTCAACGCGCGCGAAACACGGAGACTATGGGAAAATCACCGAAGGCAGCGGCTGGACTCTATCAGTTTTAACACAAATCACAACCTTCTTTTGAACATCTCTTCCTTCATCTGGTACAAGGGTAAAGCGCAGATGTCAACCTTTCTCTGTGCGGCTCTGTGCATGCCCGTCACCATGAGGTGTGAAGCTCTTGTCATCACCTTCTACCTGAAGGCAAGCCTGGAAGCAAAGAATTCCGTACCACCTGCGAGGTCTTCAACAGCTACCAATTCAGCAGTTGCGGGATCAATAGAAAGTCTCTTCTTCGAAGGTTCGGCCCAGGTGCGAAGGACGAAGGCTTGTGTGTGTGTGAAACGAAATGGGTCTCATGACTCACCTGCCCAGCGCCAGGTATGGCCTCACTGTTGCCGCGTTTCAGAACAAGTTGCCAAAGGAACCAGACATGTTGTGTTGGCTTGTTGATGAACAAGCTCCCTAGAGGTTCCTACAACTTGTCAAGCATCTCCAAAGCGGGGGGGTCTAAATATGTCTGAATCATCCACAGTCAACATGAACCAAGGACAAACTGAAAACCTGCCACTCACGTGTTAGCAGTTTCTGAGTTTCTGCTGAATCCGAAACAAGTGAAACAAGCTGCGCATTCGGCTTCAATGATCTCCGACACCCATCCGAACATCTCTGGCATCATGTCTGGCAAAGGGATCTTGTGGAGATCTTGCTTAACGTGTTGCGTACAGGGATGGACTGGGATCGCCTAACAAAAATCATGTGTACATGAGATCTTGTTCAGAACTTGTTCAGAAGGAGACGTTGTTCAGAGATTTTTCAAGGGTCCAACAACTCAAAGATCATTCACCAGGTTCTAGAGCGCAACACAACACACTCTTTGGCATCCCAAGCAATCTTCAAAGTAATTCTCGAGGTACTACCCTGAGCTTGGGCCTGGGTTCCAGACCCAGCAGCTCCTCACGGGCTCTGGACAAATACTGTGCCTCCTGCATGTTTGGAGTTGAGCCGGAAAGCTGAATCCACCTCCAATTGGCTAGAGACCGATTGCCAACATGGCCAGGCAGATGACCTCAGCCAGGCCAAGGTTGACACTGATGTTGGACCGCAACGCACCACAAGGAGGATCGCCATGGCTTTACCACGGCATGAAAAACAGCACCATCACATATACAGGATCACACTCATCAGTGACCAACATAGTTGCATAATGTTCAAACCACACACACAATATATACACACACCGATTCAACTAACCATGACACTAACCATGTGTTGAATAAATTTGGCTAACAAATCCACGGATCAAGCACGTATACACTTCAGCGGCCGGACACTGTCCCGCCTGGAAAGACAAACACACGAGCTCATGCAAAGATGGCTCGGAAACCACGAGTTGATGATTTTGGGAGGGATGCCCAATCGAACATTTCAACTCCCAACAATGGCCCAGTGACCAATTTACCTTGGTGTAAGGCGTACGGGCCTGCGTCCGTCACGAACCAAAACACTTGACAGTCGCACCTGGAAAAAAGAAGTCTGCACCCCCCAATGGCACAGAAAAATGGGCGATTCCCCGCCTGGGGCACACCGGCGCCCTGCTCATTTTTCTCGATGTCGCTCACCTCAGCGACGCGCTTTGGAATGCACTCCGGCAACACGGCCCCGTTCGCCCACCAGCGGCCACACGGAACGGCCAGCGCGGAAAATTTTCACTGTGGGCCTCGTCCACCTCTGAATAGGCACCCTCAGCACTGCTTTCCAGCTCGTCTTCGACCACCTTCACCACATGTGTTTGAGTTGTACATGGAAAGCATGGATCTTGGCCATAAACTGATTGGTAGCTTCCATATGTGTGTAAATACTTAAATATATATGACGTGGGAAAGTGAAACCGGTAAAAGGGCAAGCAAAAACAGGAGCTGGTTATAAATGATCTCACCTTCTACACATGTCATCTTGTTCTATCTAGCTAGTTTCACTTTATAGTCGAATCGTTGCGAAAACTATTTGGGCCGCCACTCCAGGCAGTTCTGAGCTTTAACAATGCACTTATGAATTAAGCTAGCACAAATCTCCAAGATCTTCATTCAGATTGAACCAAATTGACGGTCAAAGTTTTATTCGGAAACTAAAAAGTGATCTTCGGAAACTTGACGGCTTTCTTCGGAAACTAATCTTCGGAAACTTTACGGTTGTCTTCGGAAACTGATGTTCGGAAACTACGAAAAGTCGAAGAGCACCTGCACGAAAAAGTTTCTGCAGATCGTATAATAGACATGTATATACTATATACCGTAGCCGTCACAAGGTACGTCAATAACCCACCCACCCACCCACCAAGTGCTCCTTCATGCAATCTGGCTACAATATTGTAAAGTTCTGAAGAATACTATCTAAAGCATACAAATAAGTTTTCTGAAGACCGCGAAATCATTTCAGAAGATCGCGAAATAGTTTGCGAAGATCCCGAAATAGTTTCTGAAGATTGTGAAATAGTTTCTGAAGATCGCGAACTAGTTCCTGAAGATCGCCAAATAGTTTCTGAAGATCGCGAAATAGTTTCTGAAGAATAGTTTCTGAAGAATAGCTGCTGAAGAATAGCTGCTGAAGAGTACCAAATAGTTGCGGAAGAAAGTTTTAGAAGAATGGAGAGTTGTGGAATAGGACGTTGTTCTAAATTGACAACCAACCAACTGGCCAACTAATTGACTGACTGACTGACTGACTGACTAGCAGACTGACTAGCTGACTTGCTGGCTGGCTGGCTGACTGACTAACCAACTAACTACACCAACTCACTCACTGACTGACTAACTCACTCACTCACGAACTACCTAACTAAACTAACCCGCTGACTGACTAACTAACTAACTAACTAACTAACTAACCAAACTAACAGACGAACGCACGAACGCACGAACGAACGAACGAACGTATGTATTGAATATGCGTCGAGAAAATCAGAAAGGCTGTTTATGTAGACTGCAAAGCCTTTCTACCCTAAAATAACTATATCAGACAAAGCCATCATGGCTACTTCTGCAGTCTTTGAAGCCTTAGTGGCTATCAGGTCTGTGCTTGATTGGAAGCCTTCTTGGCTGTCTCTCATTGGTACACAGTATTTACAACATTATGTGTATATATGTGTATGCAGTGTGATGAAGTTCAAGTTTCAAGAAGTCATAGAAATTAAAAGGAACGCAACTAGTAGCCAGAGCAAGTGCATGTCTAACAATATCAAAAACACATTGGAAGAGTAGTAGTATCATGATTGAAGTAAGATGTCATAACTTATAGCTTATTGAAAACACTCATTAAAACTGTTGATGGCTTACAATTCACAAACACGTTGATCAACACTGTCATATTCAGAATTATGAACCTAACTGGAAGGATTTGGATTTTAAGTTCAGAATTCTGAACCTAACCACAATTCATCAATTCATTTGTCACCAAAGGTGACTTCATTGTGAGCCATGCCTGCAGATCCACAGAGTGTCAAGAAGTTAGTGCTGAAGAGTGCACAGCCCAAGGTGAAAGCTATGCCAAAGCCATATGCAATGTATGGTCCACTACCAAGCCAGTATGAATATTTCTGTTGTATTCAATGCAAAGCCAGTGTGGCTATGTTTGTGGTGTTCACTGTAAAGCAATCTTAGCTAGTTTTGAAGTGATCACTGCAAAAGCCAGTATGGCTATCTCTGTTGTGCTCATTGCAAAGCCAATGTGGCTGTATCTGGTGTGTTCACTGTAAAGCCAAGATGACTATTTCTGTTGTAGTCACTAAAGCCAATGTGGCTCTTTCTATTGTTCACTGCAGATTTGAAACTAAGGAGTGAGCCTGATGAGTTTGAAGAAGTTGGATCTGCTTGGGCATTGCTGGATGACATTCCCCAGTTCAACCCTGAAGATGATGACTGGAAGGCCATCTACAAAGCTTACACAGAAGCCAAACTGGAGGAGCTCAGGCTTGAGAAAGCCCAAGACTTGGAGGCTGCGCAGAGCTCCAAGAAAGACTTTGGCCAGAAGGTCAGCACCTTCCAGATGAAGATGGACCAGAAGTGGGAGGCTCAGCAGATGGAGGTGGACGACCACACTGGCAAGTTCCTGGTTGCCATGGAGAAGAAGGAGATCAAGGACCAATTCTACAGAGATTGGGATCGAGCTGAAAAGGACAAGAAGCCAGAGGTGGATCCAACAGAGGCCTTCTACAGGGACTGGGCCATTGCAGAGGCTGAAGAGGAGGCATAGGTAGTGGACAAGAAAATGGAGGAGCTGGTGAAGAAGCATGCTGACCATGATGTCTTTGGTCTGAAAGGCGGATGGAAGAACAAGGCATGATGCCTGGTGTATGCTGTGAAGCAGGGCTACCACCTTGAGGCTCAGCGCCTTGCCAAGTGGTGCCTTGGACTGTGAGTTGTAAATCAATTGCTCTTTGCAAAGCCAGGTTGGCTATTTCTGTTGTGTCCATTCACAAGCTCATGTGTTTTGTGTTCACTGCAAAGCCATTGTGGGCTATTTCTGTTCTGGTCACTGTACACTGTATGTGTTGAAAAGCCATTGTTTGGCTATAGCTGTTGTCTTTTGAGGTCATTCATCTTAAGCCATTTTGTGGCTTTGGCTCATTGCTTCAACTTGAGGCCTCATTGGCTTTGGCATCAAACACTCCAAGCCATATGTGGCTTTGGCTGATTGCATTGGATTCAAGCCTCTGTGGCTATGGCTTCAACTCTTTCAATTGAGTTTGTTTATGTCATTCACTCCTGGTGGTTCAAGCTCACTTGCTTGGTGCAAGCCCTCTGTACACTGGCCACCAAAGAAGTCAACTGTTACCATGCAAGCTTGGAAGGCTGAGGAATCGCTGCAAGAGCTTCAAGGCTTTGCTGAGTTGAGCAGGAAAAGGCCTGACTCCAAGATGCTCGACACTGTTTGGCAGTGTTTGGAGCAAAGGATGAAGAGTCAAGGCCAGTTGAGCCCAACATGCTTTTTGAAGCTCATGGATGGAGTGGAGTCCATGGACATGGGGCCAGAGCTCAAATCCAAGGTTTTGACTTCATTGGATACTATGGGTAGTGGTAGTGCCAGTGCCACAAAATTGGTCACTGTCCCCCAGACCATTCCTTACATCAGTGCCTATTCTACCAACAAAGATTGGAACAGCCTGCAAGAGGCTTCAATGGTTTCAGATGCCCTGCAAGTCCAGGCTGAGGGCAATGGGGGTGAGGTTCCTCAAAGAGGACACCAAGAAGCCAGCCTGTGCTTTGCTTTTGTGGTGGATGTCTCAGAAAGGGATGCCACAACCTTCTGCCACTACAGTTCACCATGGGCTCTTGGCTGACTTCCAGGCGTTGTTTGCTTCTTTACCCAGCAATGCAAAAGTCTCTGGCCAAAAAGTTTACAGCCATGTCCCAACAAACATGGGCAAAGAATGGCTGGCTGCTGCCTATGACCCAGATGACCAACCAGCAGGCAGAGCTGTGAATGTGTCCTTATTCCTGGACAAGGTCCCACTGAGAAAGACAAGCAGCCTTTTGAACACAAACAAAAGGTCAGTGGCAACCCCACAGCAGCAAACACCTGACACCCAACAGGTCTTGTTCAACCAACTTTGGGGGAGCCTCCTCAAAACCTGGCAAGGCAAGAGTGAAGAAGCAAATGCTGGCTGCACAGTGCACTTCACCAACAAGACACCAGGGAACCAGCCCAGGCAATTACAATTGCCACCAGTGCCAGCCCCCCAGTCAGCTCTTGAACCCAAGCCAAAGGAAGAGCTTCAGCCAGCTTCCCTACAAGACACACCTTGCACTGAAGATGCTGCTGTGCAGAAGGCATCTGTTTTGCCTTTGGACCAGCCTGGTCATGGTGGTGGTTTGGCTGATTTTGAAAAAGCTGCCTTTGAGAAGCTGCACGAAAGAGCCAGTGGCAACAAGCCTGGCCAGAAGCAGCAGAAGGGCAACAAAGTGCTCAAGAGGCCCTCTGCTCAGAAGACCAAGGTGTGCCAAAGTTCGCCTTCAGTCAAGCAAAGCAGCAATGGCCTACCTTCTGTGCTTGGGTGTCTGAGATGCAAAGGTGCATCAAAAGGCTGTGCCACATGCAGGAAGCCTGAGTTCAAGGGGATTAGGTTCCAGGGCAGGGAGGAGTACAACCGCTTTGTGTTGGAACAGAAAGCAGCTGGCAAAACCTACAAGTGAAGCTGCATATGATTTGGGGGTTCCATGTGAAAGGCATGGTTTACGGGGTTCATCTAGTGAAACCACTGGATGTATATAGCTTGAGGAGCAATGGCCACATAGCAGCAAAAAGTGGTTGCTTTGTGCTCATATGGTTTTCTCTGCCATGTTCTTTGCTTTTCAGCTTTTGTCAGGTCTAAGCCAGCATGGCTTTCTCTGCAATGTTCTTTGTTGCTTTGCTTTTGTCAAGTCTAAGCCAGCATGGCGTTTTCTTCATGTGGCCCTTTCCCAAGCCAGCCTGGCTTTCCCTGTCTGTTCATTGGCTAGTTGTAAAACACAATGGTCTTTGTTCACAACTGTTTTTGTTGTGGTGCTGCAATGAGTTGCTTCAAGCTTTGCCTTGAATGCTTTGTGTTTTTGTTTCCCGGCAATGCCAGCTGGCTCTTCTACTGGTGCACCTCTGGGCAAGAAGCTGAGGAAGTCTGCCTTGAGAAGGAAATGCCCCTTTGTTACAAAGTCTTGTCTGAGTGAGATTTTGCAGGATGTGGAGGAACATGGCATCCCAGAAGCCAAAGATGCCAAGAACATGAGGAAGGCTGCCTACCAAGACCTTGACCAGTGGCAGAAGTATTGCCCTTTGTTCCAAACATGTGACATGGTAACATCAGGTGGTGAGACAATGCAGGTGGTGATCTGCAATTTTTGGACATTGTTGCATGCAGCTTGCCAAGTGGGAGGGCATTTCTAACTCATGGGCCCACTGCTTCCACCAAAAGCTGGAGGCTGCTTGTGTACTCAGATGAGTGCCTTCCAGGAAACCCCTTGTCTGGCAAATCCAACAAAAAGCTTTGGGCTGTGTACATCAGCTTTGCTGAGTTTGGTTTGCAACTCCTGTCCAAGGAGGATTCATGGCTCCCAGTGTTTGTGCAAAGGAGTTCTTCTGTGGACAAGCTCTCTGGTGGCCCTTCCCAGGTCTTGAAGGAGATTTTGAAGAGCATTTTGTGCTCACCAATAGCTTCTCCACAGAACCTTGGTCTTTTGTTGGATGGCCCTTCTGGTCAAAAGTTCAGGGTGCACGTTGGCATGGGGCTCTTTGTGCAAGATGGTGCCTCTCAGAAGGCCTGCTTTTCATTGAAAGGTGATGCAGGGTCAAAATTCTGCCTCAAGTGCAGCAACCAAATATGTATTTTGATGCCAGGGGAGGATGACCAAGACAATGCTGTGTGCAAAGTAACTTGCGAGTCTGATCTGATGTTATCCACCAACCAGGAAGTGCTTGACAGCTTTGATAGATTGCAGGCCAGGAAGGGCGCTTGCAGCGCCAAAGAGTTCAACATGTGGGAGCAGGCCAGTGGCTGGACCTTTACACAGCATGGCCTTTTGGCTTGCCATGAGTTGAGGGAGCACATCAGGCCTGCGAGCCAGTTCATGCATGACTGGATGCATGCTACGTGCAGCAATGGATGCCTCAACATTTGCTTGTGCCTAATTTTTGATGCCTTGAGCGCACATGGCCTGATGGTATGGAAGACCTTCCCTGCATTTTTGAATTTATGGCCCCTGCCAAAGTCTTTGGCCAGTTACAAGCTCACAGACCTTTTCAAGGCTTCAAGGGTTGAAAGCTCCAGGAAAGCCAAGAAGCTGAAATGCCAAGCTTCAGAGGTTCTTTGCTTGTATGCCATTGTCGCAGCAGGATTCCTGAAATGGAGAGTCAATGTAATGCCTTCCTGGCTGTCTGCAAGGTTCTAGACTCTAGACCTTCTACAAGCAATTGGAAGAATTACAATCACAGGCCTTGATTTGGACCAGGCAGCTGAAACAGCACTGCAAGCTGTAGTTGCAGCAGGGTGGGGGTGCTATATGCTCAAGAAATTTCATTGGTTGCTGCACCTAGGAGACTCCTTAAAGGAGCATGGACTGTTGGTTCCTTGTTGGTGCATGGAGAGGAAGCACAAGCAGGTGATTGCTGTGGCTTCCACAGTGACCAATTTGATTTTTGTTGAAAAGTCAGTGTATACTGAGCTCCTTGGGGAGCAGCTGCACAGGATGGCAAGATCTTCATTGCCCTTGGTTGGGCTGCAACACACTTGTTGTGGAGAGGTGCAACCAAGTTGTGTTGAAAGGTGGTGCTAAAGCTTCCACAGGCGATGTTGTCCTGGTTTCATCAAACACAAAGTGGGATTGTGCTCACTTGAAGGGATCTGTGCAAGCAGGCCCCCATGGAACTTTTTGCTTGGTGCAGTTCTACAAGCTTCAGGTCTATGAGTCTGAAACGGGTTTTGCCACTGGGCTGAAAGATGACAGCCTTGCCCTTGTGCCTGTGGACCAAGTCCTGGCACCAGTCACCTTTTCTGCAACAGAAGATGGTGTTCTCACCTTGGTGCTGCTACATTTGAAATGAAGGAGAGAAAAGAGGAGCTTTGCTTTGTGCAACTGGTTCACTGCATGCTCTATATAGCAACATGTGCTTTTGCTTTTGCATGGGTACTTCACCACTAAAACAGCATGTGCTTTTGCTTGTGTGCATGGGTGCTTCACCCCTAAAGCAGCATTTGCTGTTACTTTTGCATGCGCCTTTCACATGTTAAGCAATGTGCTTTTGCTTCTACTGTAAAGCCAAGTTAGCTTTCAGCGCCTGCAAGGTTCTAATGTGAAAAATTGAAAGAACACAAGTGTCTTCTGCTTTTTCTTTTTCCATGAACACAGAAACAAAACCATTGCCAAAGCGAAAAATAAGAAAACCAAAAATTACAAGTAGTTAGTAAATAGTTAGCTAAGTGGGTTATAACCCTCCTAACTAGTTAGTATCTTAGCAGCCCATCAACGAACGAACGAATGAACGAACCAACGAATGAACGAACGCAGAACGTGGCAGCGCAGAATCTTATAAAGCGTAAATTCAGGATTCGGCCAGGGCTTTTGCTCCTTAACTGTCTCAACTGTCCCATGTCACAGCTTGTCAGAACCCTGCTGGCCTGACGGCGCTCCTGGTGCTTCTTCACCTGCGCACAATGTAAACTGCTGCTGACAGGGTTGGAAGTAGGAGACCTTAGGATGGTGGACGGCGAGATTGGGTTCCGCAAGTTTGTAAACTAACCATGGACTGACACTTCAATTTTAGGGAAATGGCACGGCCTTTGCAACCTCTGCCTTTGACAATATCAGACAGGGGACGAGGGGTGGTCTCAATTCTCGCCCAAAGTCACGGATTGATGACATTAGTTGCAACTACTTCGGGTCCTCTTGGTCAACCACTGGTGCAGTTCAACCCGGATTGCTGCCCTTGCCTGTGCAAGCAACTGGTCTAAGTGGACAAGGTCCATCATGTCCCGGAACTCATCATCGCTGACCCGGATCTTTTGCCCTTGAAGGCAATTCTCGAATGAGGTCATGAGAAAATGAAACTCCTGACGCGGTGACACAAGTTCATCAAGGTCATCAAGGGCTCAAAAACCGGTGAGAACCGCGGTTGTCTGATGAATTCCGGCCCAAAACCGGTGAGAATCCAGGAATAACTGTCCTTTGCTCGAGGAGGGTTCAAGTTTCCAAAGGAAAAGGCTTACACTGGAGAATGAAGGGTTTTTGATGTCACTTCATAAAGCTAAACATCAGCAGTGTCTTGAAGTTGGCCTTCCTCTTTGCTTGACCAACCGAATTGAACCAGGAAGTCAAGGTATAAAGTTCCTCTTTGTTTGTCCAGGAAGTCAGTCCTCTTGGAGCCAGGCGAGGGAGTCAACAAAGGCATCCCCTTGCAACTTAATGCATTGGAGCCGGAGCTGCCCATAATGCTTCATGCTCTTGGTCAAGAGCACGTCGGTGGAGACCTCCATCATCTCAACCAACTGCTCGGCCAGGCGTTCCATCTTCGTGTCATCGATTCCCTCAAACAAGTCGACCATCTTGGGGATGAGAACATAGAGCTCCTCCGTCTTCTTTTTCAACAACTCCGTGGCTCGCCACCTGAGGCCCAAAAATGTGGCACGCGACACCACAATGGGCAAGTCACTGGCACTCATGGGACCATGCACTCATTGTGTGCTTGTGTTGTTCGCCATACTTTGTCAACCATGTTGAATCTTATGAACAGTGGAGAAGAATGATGATGATGATGAGGAGGAGGAGGAGGACGATGGTGACGATGGTGATGGTCATGACAAACCCGTATATTCAAACAAAGCACCAGCAAAATGTCCACCATCGAAACCAAGCAACTTGCCGAAACACAAGACTTTCTGAAGAGACAGTCCACCTTCTCCACATTCGCGACCTATACTTGTCAACCAACTCATTGCCAAGTTGCTGGAAGTCTTCTTGCAGCCCATGAACAGTGCGGCGGTCTTTCAGGTCACCTCACAGTGAACCAATCACATCAGGTCACCTCGTTGGACATTCCCAAACTGTACGGGAAAAATTGAAAACAACAGCGATCATTTCAACGTACAAATGACAACTTACGCAGCAGGAAAGAGTCCAAGAATTAAGAAAACATAAAGCATCGAGATAATTCAAGATCTTGCAAAATGTTGGAGAGCAATCAACCTACTGTCAGACGGCTGATACCAATTGACTGGGAGCCAAGATGCAAGGAACAGTGCGACCACTCCTCAGCTTGCCTACTTGGACCTCGGCAGTTTCCAATGGACCAAACCTCGACTTGGCCGATGTGCAACACCCAGCTTAATCGGTGGGTTCTTGCAAAGGCTTGGCACAACAAGCAAGTCAGGCTGTGTCAAGCGCAAAGGTATTCCGACCAGAAGCAATAATTAATGTGGTAAAGAGATGCTCCTGATGTCATTGCGGTGGAGCAAAATCTATTCAGGAGTGAACTAAGAATGACGCAAGCTAAGGAGTCACCTCATTGCTTTAAAAATTGCTCGTTGAAAACAAGTGAGCACAAGTTTCTAGCTCCATCACAAGAACAAGACTGGTCATCACAAAAATCCAGAAATGTTCTCCGCGGATGCATCCTTGGCAAGGAGCCATATGGTCACACTGGATCTTTGTTGCAAAGATACTGGATTTGCTCTGGTCTTGGTCTCTGTACTGGTGGTCAGGTGGTCTATCTTAGCCAGAACCAAAAGCCGAAAAAAGAACAACCAACCGTGAAACACCAAGAAAGTTACATTCAGAGCACTGCGCCTTGAAACTAACCCGTCCCTGGCCATAATTTCTGACGAGGAACAGGGTGCAAAACGCCGATCATCTTCTTCCAGCCATTCTTTTTGGCAAAGTGCCATGGGGTCTGGCCTCGCTGCAGTGGCCACTGTGAGTCACATACAGGCGACACATGATCCCTTGAATCCTCGTAGGCTCACCCAAGATGTTAAAGTTTGCAAGCCTTCTGAATTTTAACTGAATGCTCTCAGTCTCAAATGTTGTATCAACAGAATCAACATCAGACAGAAACATTGCTGCTCTCTTTGGATATCTTTGGATACGGTTTTGGATACTTCCCAAATAGGCGCTCACAAGCCTCTTTCTTTTCCAGGCGCCCGGACCTTGCTTGTCCCTGACCTTGAGGTCCGCCCTGGCCTCGATGAGGCGCTGCGCCACCTCCCAGTAGCACTCTTCGGCCGCCCGGTGGAGAGGCGTCCGACCTCGGGGGCGGATCAAACCCGTCGCAGCGCGGGGAGCGGAGCATCGGCGGAGACGGAAAAGCCCATAGGTAAGTCCGGACGCTAAAAGAACAATGAATGCCTTGTGTTCCAACAGAAGCAGGATCAAAGTGACACATAAACACGGCTTGCAAACCTTTTTCCTCAATTGATCAAAATCAGGCACCCGGACCATCATCTTCCACAGACCTTCTTCGACACCACAGACCTCCTTTCCCAGGCTCCCCGACCAGAATGGTCCTTGGCCTCGAGGTCGGCCCTGGCCTCGATGAGCCGCTGCGCCACCTCCCAATGGCCGGCAACGGCCGCCCAGTGGAGGGGCGTCGCGCCTCGGGGCGGATCAATCCGGTTGAGGCCGCGGGGAGTGGAGCATTGGCAGCGACGGAAAAGGAAGCAAAGGAAATTCTGAGGGCTTTGCCCTTGTTTGTTTGATAGTTGGAAATTACTTTCAACGCCTCTTGATTCAAATGTGTTGTTCTTTGTCTTGATTCAACATAATATCCAGATCGCTCCATGTTGCTGACAACTGCTAGGACCAGTCCATACCAGTGGCATAGAATCAATCAAAGCTGCGCAAAACCCATCCAGTTGCTTCATTATAGTGTTCCGTTCATCGACTCATCTAATCTCGCACCTCGTCTCATTCACAGTGCCTCCCATTTTCATTACTTCCACTTCCTTCATGGGCCCTAATCCACCACCCAGGCCGTATCAGAATCTTCGATCAAACGAATCCGATTTGATTGGTGGGGGTGTCAGGTGTCAAATCCCTTTGGCACGTTTCATCGACGTTCTCCGGTCACCCTGAGACTTGGGGCCCCCGGCCAAACCTGCCGGTCGCCTCGAGGACGGCGCCAGCGGCAATGAGCCGGTCCACCACGGTGAGGTGGCCATACCCCGCGGCCAGATGCAGCGGTGTGTCCACACCTCGGCCGTGCGGAGTCGAAGGTGTTTTCTCCAGGAAGGTCAATGAGCAAGTCACCACATCTGTGTTTGGATGGAAGGGCGAACAGAAAAAGGATGGAACAGCTGCTTCATGGTGCAGCTTGTTCCTGCCTACCCCAACCAACCGCGAACCAGTGCACGGTCGTTCCCACTCGCGTAGCTCCGGGACCCCGGCGGTTGTCTTTGGCCTCGATGTCAAGACCTGCTCTCAGCAGGCGCTCCACCTCATCGATTTCTCCGTTGAAGGCAGCGCGGTGCAGCGCAGACCGGCCTCAGGCGATCTGAGTGTCCAACAGGATTTCCACGCACGTCCAATTCAACTTTAGGGTGGCGTGTGACCAGGTCCTCAAACACTTGCAAAACCTGATGCTGTCATATCAGATCTCTCAATCGCAGGCCCAGCCAGACCGTTGGCATTGTCTCAGTTCCCCCACCTTCTTCGTCGACCTCTGCACCTTGGCAGCTGCGTCAGAAGTAAGTGTACCACACCGGTCGTGCAAGAAGCAGTTTAACAATCTGCCAAGAACAACGTTTCGGAATTCTTGCTGGCAGTGCCACAAAAAGATCCAAGAGCTCCACCTGTCTGGGCTGCAGCTCCACAGGCCTACAAGGTTTGAGTCTGAGCGCAATCACTTTTCATCCAGTAACTGCAACATTGCTGCGCTTCACACACGTCTCTCTTGGTCTTGGTTCTGACGTCATGTTGAAGCCCTTCGTAGTCAGTATATATGGATACATCATACATCACTTTGGAGACGGCCTTGACCACCTTCCTCAAGATCTCACTGGGCTCGGCAGCGGTATCGCTCAGGACCTGCTCAAGAAGACTGCACTCTCAAGGGTAAAGAGTTGCATCTAAAAGTCAGGGGTTATAGTGGATTGGTGGTCTGTGCACCTACTCGTTGATCTCGTTGTAAAGTGTCCACATTCAAAACCAGTCGTTGTTTATCCCAGCTTTGGGAGATTCTCAGATACTGCCTAAGATCCACCATATTGGCAGGGGATGGCAGGGTTATTTTGGCTTAAAACAATGAAGGGGTCATTTAATATCGAAATTGCAAAGACTAAGTTCTTGTTGAATCTTGGACTCAAAGCGATTAGATGAAACTAAACTCAATGCCCTTTGAGAGCTTGACGGTTGCAGGGCAGAAATGAAAGCAATTCTGTCTGAGACTTTGAACATCCAGGACCCCAAGTTTAGAAAACGCTTTCACTTGCATGTGGGCAATAACCTGAAATGCCCCTGTTGAAAGTCCGCAACCAGGATAGGAAGCACGAGAGAACAGCAAAGACCACAACCCATTGAATCGTGAAGGAACAATGTGACTGATTTCAGAGCAGCTGTTTCAAGCCTTGCAATTCTGCATCATGGAGTCCAGGCTCCTTAGGCAGTCGACCCTTTCTTTCCGAAGCAGAACCAATGCGAGCACAAGTGTCGTGTAAACATGCATATACTAGAGACAGAAACCTTAACTGTGCCCACAAACTCAAGGTTGGGGCAGCTGCGATATGCTTCGAATCTAGTCAAGCACCCGTGTTTTTCAGTTTGCGGCATCGGTTTCTGCTTGTCTGCATCAACCCTTCTAGCTTCAAGTGCTAGGAAGACTGTTTGAAGTCCATCCAAGTAGGTCCGTTCAACAGTATACAGTATAGTGAACAAAACCGCATGATGAAATGATGAAGTGCCGTCCCAATCTTTCTGTATGAACCCAATGGATGCTACTTACTGACTCATCAACTGGCCGTTGCCATTTCGGGATGTAGTAAATGGGGCAACCTGAAACAAGTTTTAATGTGAGTCCCCTTTAACCCTGATCCCATTCACTGCCCAGTAGCATGCCCAACCACTCCGGATCTTTCTGGATGGCATGAATCAGGAAGGCAACTGCATGCAGAACTTGGCTCTGAGGCCTGCAGAGAGGATGGTGGAAACTCGCAGTTTTACCCCAAACCACCCCGTTGCAATCGGGACAGGCTGCCCAAAGTCGAAACAGGTTCAGTAGAACAACTGACTTCTAAGCCAAAAAGGGATTCTGGAGATCTGCCAAGTAAGCCGGCCATGTGGGTATCAGCTGGTTTGACAACACGCAGTGTTGACACGGACCCACAAGAACAAACTACAATTTTACTCACACGCAACCGTGCGACCTAATCATGCCATGGTTTTTGCAGACCTTGGCAACAAGTAAGCAACCTCCTTGTTTATGACTTAACAGGTTCAAGGACGCCTGCGATCTGCAAAGGTCTTCAATCGCTCCAATAGCTCGGGCTTCTTCCAGGGCAATGTCGGCCAGTGGGGGCTCTGCACAAAATGCAGATCAACGTTGCAGTGAGGGTTCAACCTCAGAATGGATGAACGTAACTTCTGCAAAGGAATCCCATCAAACCTGTTTCAGTTATGTAGAGTCATCTTCCTTTACACAAGTATCGATCTGCGTCCTCCAATCGCCAAGCCCTCTTGCTACTCATGACACACACCTTTGGGCCCTGGCACCTGTTGCGTTAATGTTTTTCTGCTTGAGTGCACGATGTATGCCGGTATGCAATTTGCTTTTCTAATCAGGGTATGCCAAGCGATTTCGGCAACTTGACATGGTTGTAGATGCAACTGATGTTCGCTGCAGCCGCTGATCAGGTGGATGCGTTTTGGAGGAGGGCTTGGAGCAAGACTGATGATGGCACGATGATATAGCTGGTCCTAAATGCTACAATATCCTCTGTGCAAGTGTAACAACGAGGGAATGGAATGAGCAAAGCGGATGATGCTGTTTGTCAACCCTGTTCATGTGCGGCTAGGTAAATTTCTGGAATTCCTGAAAAACGAGACATGATAAAATCTAATCTTGCCTGGGCCTGTACAGAATTCATGAGGGCTGAGCATGTCACCTTTTCATTAGGCAGGGAAATGGAAACACGAGGAGCGATTTGAGAGAGTTATCGGAAGAAGGTCAAACTTTTGCAAAGGGTTCAACTCAAGCTGCTTACCTTGCAGGCCACTTGTACAATCACATTGTTCCTATGTTAAGAGACACTTGTGCCCCCTTAAGGCCAACCAAGAGCAGGACAGAGAATAAAGAAACACTGAAAATGTTAGGTTAGGTCTTCAATGCAAGGCACCAGTCATGGTCTTCCAAATCTCTGTAGTTGTTGACCACACGCACTTGCCATTCCGCAGCCTCCTCCCCATTTCTCTGGATCAGCTGCCTTGCAAGGCCTTTGAAGAAAGACCCTCTCAACAGCACCAAGTTTGGAACCTGGATTTGTTCACGTAGACCTTCGACCAGGTCCACCACTTTCTGAAATCCTGGCGCTGCAAAGTCTGACACTTGCTGCGGAACTTCAGCACCTGTCCACCCCAACGAAGTGCTCCTTCGTTGGTTGACGAAGTCCTCCAGGACAGACTTTATTCCATCACTGTTCAACTCCCTGGGTGATACGATGATGACCCAGAAACTGCCGTGACCAACGTAGATGCGCATCTGCTCACGAATCACCTCCATCTCATCTCTGTGGAGACCTCTTCCAAGGTCATCATTTCCCGGCCCCACAAGGCAAAACATTGAACAAATATCACCAACAAATTGCCTTGGCATGTAAGATGCTCACTTGCACACACATTCACTCACAAAGTAACTGACTGACTGGCTGACTCACTCACTCACTCACTCACTTACTGACAGACCGACTGACTATGGTAATAGCATTGAGGCAAATATGCACAAATACTATGCCTACTGACAAACTCAGAAATTTTAAGATTGCAGCTATCTGAGGAGAAAGGTCAACCAATCAACTCGTGACCCACTCGTAGACAGATTGCTGGGAACAGGATGTGTGACCCTTCGGCCATCCTTCTTAATGGCTATATATATGAAAGTTGTTGACTGTATTGCACCCTGTTGCCAAAGGCACAGTTTCACCACAGAGATCGTTAGACCATACAAGTAAGTACATGGCAGTGCTTGATCATGTTGATTATAAATATAAATTATAACTGGCTCAACCCACAGCTATCACAGTGGTTTGTTCTTTTTGCCATAAGCCCGGAGAACATGCAATAGACAGCAGAAGAGCAGAAAACATGTATATATAGTTAGTTCTAGTGTGTTGTTAAAGGGTGACTTTATTTGGAATGTTTCCTGCGTTTCGTTTGGTGAACTTTTTGCGCGGTAGTTGCTCCAGTGGAAGTAGAAAGCTAGCTCCTTGCCGAGGAAATAAGTGCCCAGCAGGCCATTTTCCATGTCCATGATTGTTTCAGGGCGTCTAGGGCCTGTGTGAAAAGAAACCAACCAACTGAACCACAAGGCAAGAATAGAAATTCCGGCCCCGGGGCGAACAAACATGAGACAAGTGCATCATAATCGAAAAGGTAGTAAAGAATGATGCCCTTGGGTTGTCCCCTAGATTCAAACGCAACACAACCACCAGTAGAGCAGAAAAGACAGCAGGAAAAGCAAGACAAGCACAGGAAAGCAGGATACGCAAGAAAAGCAGAAGTAACCACAGATAAATTATAGGACCGGATAACCCCACATGGGAACAACTTCGAAAGATTGAAGCTGCAGACATAAAGTGCTGAAGAGTGAGCATGGGGAAGAGACAGGCGAGACAAATAGAATGCGTAAGGGTCGGTGTGTGTAGGTGAGGTGTGCGTTTGATTGTAGGTGCTTGTCCGTGAGTGTGTATGAGTGTGTGGGTGGATGTATGCTGTATGACGCTTGTGTGCATGTAGGTGTTTGTAAGGTGTGTGTTTGTGTGTATGTGTCTGTTCATCAGGGTGTATCTGTGTGTATCCGTTTGTGTGTATCTCGTCAGAGAGTCGGTCGTCGGAGACGAACTGGTCCAAGTGTCCTGAGCAGGAAGATGCATACTGGTCATATCGATTCATATGGTTGACTCATACGGTTGACTCTACGTAGCTTTGAGCTCCCGCGAACGAGCGCAGGCAACGACCTCGGAGGCGACTAGAGAAGACAAGATCCCAAATGCACCGAAAGATACCAGGTGTACAAACCACGAAAATTATCTGCAGGCGGAAGCGTGTTTTTTTGGCAACACGCACTTATCCCATGGTCATCTAGTGACGGCCATCACGCTGTTGAAAAAACCATGTCTGAAATCGGCCAGTCGCATCAATCAGACAGAACCAAAATTATACACAGATTCCAAAGTTTCCAAAGTTTCATCTCTTCATTCTGCAGCGATGGCCGTGGCGCCTTCCATAGACGCATCTGAAAGCTGCAAGTCGCATCACTCAGAAAGAAGGCCCCTTGCCACGAGATCTGCACACGGAGGTTCACAAAGCGCTGTGCCTGCCACGAGATCTGCACACGAAGGTTCACAAAGTGCTGCGCCTGCCACGAAATCTGCACATCCAGCGCCGGTGCCCAGCCGACGCCAGGGCGTACATCCGACCCCTTGGCAAGCAGCAAAGTGCTTGCGCCTGCCACGAGATCTGCACACGGAGGTTCACAAAGTACTGCGCCTGCCACGAAATCTGCACATGAAGGTTCACAAAGTGCTGCGCTTGCCACGAAAAGACGCACATCCAGCGCCGGTGCCCAGCCGACGCCAGGGCGTACATCCGACCCCTTGGCAAGCAGCAAAGTGCTGTGCCTGCCACGAGATCTGCACACGGAGGTTCACAAAGTACTGCGCCTGCCACGAAATCTGCACATGAAGGTTCACAAAGTGCTGCGCCTGCCACGAAATCTGCACATCCAGCGCCGGTGCCCAGCCGACGCCAGGGCGTACATCCGACCCCTTGGCAAGCAGCAAAGCGCTATGCCTGCCACGAGATCTGCACACGGAGATTCACAAAGTGCTGTGCCTGCCACGAGATCTGCGATGTTGTCTGAGTGACGTTGAGGTGAAGCGAGAGATGTTGTTGTGAGCGATGTTGTGTGAGAGATGTTGTGTGAGAGAGGAGGAAGGAGGAAGGAGGAGGGGAAGGAGGAGGAGCGCGGACGGAGAACGAGCGAGGCGGTGCAGAAAAAAAACAAGAACCCCACACAACAATGTGGGGAACAATGGAAAGCAAGGAAAACAAAACAAGCACAAACATGTAAGAAATGCAGAAGATATCATAGAGAAGCAATGACAAGCCAGAAGAGCAACAAGAAGCAAATCCGACAGAAAATAACTAAACGCTACATTGTGACGTGCTTAGGCCTGTTTGTGTGTTTGGACCCCCCCCCCTGCCTGAGACTATTCAGGGAATCCCTGAAACTATTTCCAGCTTAGGTAGAAACTATTTCTAGACTAGTAGGCTATTGGTAGACATAGATCACATAGAGGCACCTCCTTTGGACACAAAACTATCAATCTTTTGCCAACATATGCAACACGTGGCACACTGTATAAACTGGTATAATGCGAAAAGCCGTGAATTGCATCCAAGGCATCCGGCAAACAACCGAACAATTTTCTTGAATGGTTCACATTGCAACTAAAAAGTATCGCCCATCTTATTGCAAAGCCCGTCGTTCCTCTCTCTGAGAACAGCCTTTTCTCTGTATCTGGATGTCGACAAAGGTTTGTTGGCCTTCCAACACTGTCTGGCGACAGAGGATCTAAGATTATGTCCTTGGACCAAAGGCTTTGCCCTTGCCAAACACCTCAAGCGGCCCAAGGCTAGGAGACAAAATTCTGCCGTCCAAACCTATGCCTGAACTCCTTGGGACTCCTACTGCTTGGCCCTCTTTTTGGGCAAAGTCTTGGGTTTCTTCGCAGACTTCTTTTGCCTGGGCTGTGGGTGAGCTTTGTGAGTTGAAGGTGGGATCTGAAAACATTAAACGGGAACATGATGCTGGCTTGCACCAGTGTTTGCACCATAAACCATCTAGTCTTGAATTCAATTTGTGGCTTGTTGCCATTATATAGTCCCATGTAATTACAGGTGGCCATAAAAACATAATGAATCAACACCAAAGTCAATGAACGATAGACCTTTGACAAATTGCCCTGGAACAAATGCGTCAATGACCAAGAGCCAATGTTTCTTGCCTGGCCTTGTGCATTTTTTGTCTCAGCCAACGCCCAACATATGATATGAGCGAGTGAGAATGTGACTGAATCTGAAATATCTGAAAAGCTAGGACCTTGGACCTTGATCTGTTCCACCAAAGCTGCTCGCTGGCTGGAGGGTCATCAGCCTTCTGGAACTCTTCAAGCTTCGTCAGGAGGTTGAGGTGAAGATCTGCTTTGGTCATCCCAAGTTCAGCGGCCAACATTCTGCACAGTTTGCGTGCAGCCGCCAACTTGTCCGGGTAGAGGTCTGGGAACGTGACAAGCTCGAGAACTGTGATTGAGCTGCACATTGAGCCCACATCGTTGCGCGTGGCCTAGACAAAGAAAGAACAAATACAACACCCACAACTACTGCGCAATGTTTGGCAACCTGACCTTCTGCTAGTTGCCTGCCTTGTTTTGCAGCCTGACCTTCTGCTGGCTGCCTCCCTACTACCTACCATATGAAAAAGAGAGTCTGAAACTCTTGAATCAATCTCAACTAGCAAGACTGACTGAGTACACAAGCATGTTCGTCATGTCCAGTCCTCCATGGATTTAAATGCAGCAACAATCTTGGCCCGCAATGGTGTGGTCTTCCAACCATCAAACTTCTGGATGTTCTGCAAGGTTCGAAGAAAGTCCTGCACGATCAGGAAGCCCTTGCGCCAGTCAAGGAGAGAGTTGACATCCTCACCCAACTGCATCTTTTCTTTCTCTTCAGCGCCAAAGATCTTTGCGGCGGTGTCCAACTCCCCAGAATCGATAGCCAACATGACATGCCTGTGACGATTTCGATTGGAACCCACAGTCAATGTTTGCATGGGACGAGAGTCACAGTAATTTCAATCCTCTGAAAGCGGGTGACATAAAAGAACTACTCAGAAACATTTGAAACAGCCACATCAAAATGAACAAAAGCCCCAGCATGGACCAGCATGGACTCTACAAAGAGAAGGATCATGGAATATATCCAGAATGCAATTGAGTCATGAGTCATGGATATTGACTGACTGCCAGTAATTCTTCTGGCATTGTTTGGTGAAGAATGATTGAACTGTCCCTGCCTGTACTTCTCAACAACAGGTGTCATGTGTCCGAGGCTTGTCTCTGCAGAGTCGATGACCTTCTCGATTGCGGCAATCACTGATGCCTGGAATTCCTTCACGTGGGTCACCACCTCTGCTGAAAAGAATTTCTCGATCAGCGTCATGTCCAAAGACAAAATGGTCATCCACTTCTTGACAGGACGCATCAGCTGTGGCAACTCCTTCTCAAGGTTTGTGAGCGATGGTGCATCAACCGGCTTCAAATCGTCCAGGATCGAGCTGTTCTTGGCCAAATTCAACATTGCCTGAAGTTCTGGTGGCAGGTGAGTGCAGGCATTCAAGACATCACATACCTCGTCTGGGCCACCTGATTCCCAGGCAGAGGCAACCCAAGAGGTTCCATAGGTGATCATGGCGCTCTGGAAACGCTGGGCTGCCGCTTTTGCAGCATCAAGCCAAT